GGTAGAACCTTCTTAAACCCGACGAGGTTATTCTAAATTAGTCTTAAGTGATAATGATAGCCAGTTCCAATTAGTTTTTAGACCATTATGGACCGAAATATACATTTTTCCTAGCAAATAAAGGAATAATCTGGAAGAGTATCATACAAAAAACCTATCAAGTGGTGGAATTTATGAGTGAATAATTGGAGTAAGCAAATGGGCTATGAGAAGAGCCGTTGGTGGGAAGTTATTAAGGGGAAGAGAATAAAAAATGGTAGAAGTCCAAGGTATATTAAATACTCGGCCACTAACATAAACTTTGAAGATAACGTAATCATATGTCCGATTGATTTTATCTTGCCTATTACTTCCTTCGTTATTCCAATTGTTAACGACAGCGATCAGGAAGAATTTTCCTCTCACAAATTAGGTATCAAGGAAATTGGATACATTTTGGGACAAACACAGAAATGAGTATTTGACCAGCCTTTGAGAACGAACTAAAAAAGAACACTCTTCCTAAAAAATGTAGTAACAAGGACACTTCATGAGAAAAAATATGTATTGGTTAACAAATGAAAAGTTCCTCACGGTTTATGGAAATTAGCCAGGATAAAAGAAACTAAAGAAAGAAGAAATAAAGAAGTAAAAAATTCCTCAATAGAATTAACACATGATAAACGACCAGTATACATATTCTACTGCTTGGAAGTCTATGATGAAGCAAATTCAACAATTTAACTATCGAAGTCCGGCAAACCAATTCGTAAAGTTAATGGACGTGAAAAACCTTTTGATCTACAGATTAGAAATGGTGCAAAATGACAAGCTCAAACCGATAAGACCATTCATCCTTCTGAAGGTTTCATCTTTCGACAGGAATGTCGGAAAAAACCGATTTATAATATGTAGAATTAAAATTATATTCCATAGATTGTTTAATACTCCTTGGACAAAGTTGCAATGTCACGTAATAAATCATTCATTTAATAATTACCTTTCATGTATCTGAGCATATTTGCACTGCTACTTATTTACATTGTTAACAAAGAATACGTTTTGGAATTTGTCCCCAATTATTTTTTTGTTGTTTGTCGTTCCTTACTAACTGTAAATTATATTAGAATTTAACAATGTTAACAGTTCTTCCTTTATTTAACCTCACCTCCGGCACCAAATCATTGTTGCCGTGAAATGTGGTCTGATTCGAGTAGATTGAAGAGCCGAATACTGTTGTTTTGCAGAGAAAACGACTGTAAAAGCAAATTTAGAATTTCTTTCTTACTGCCCTGTTTCCTTGTAAAACAAAGCAGGTTCCTTTCTTGATGGTTCAGATCGTTGACTTCTTTGTTCTCGATACTGGTAGAATCTCGAATTTGTACTGGTTCCGTTCTGTGTACGTGTGGGAATCTTCGTGAAATACTTTACTATTCAAGCCTCAAACTTGGGTAATTAAATCACTGGTTAACATTAAAAACTATACAACATTACAATAATGAATTGATACATAACACACAAATGTACCTTAATTTTAAACCTCTTAAAGATACAAGCAAACTAGACACTTCGCAACCAATCCGTACCAAACAAGGAACTATAATGAATGGCTTTGTAAGGAAGAAAAATTGGGAGGGATTTTATGGGTGTTAAGGTTACAAAGTAAATTAAAATCACTTAAAACAATACTCTTTGTTCACTACGCTATAGCTTCGCCATTGTGGCGACAACAACATTTGGTTAATCTTTATTTTATTGAGATAAAGATTATCGTTGATCGTAGTTATTGAACAATATTAGTAAACTTGAGGATGTAGTTGCAGGATGGCAGTGAATATCAGATTGCTATCTAGAAGGCTCCTTATATAGGAAGCATTAACTCATAACAAGACTCATGATTTACAATACTGCAGAGGAGAACAGCTAAACAAGGTAATGTTAACCTCGGTAATAATTAGATTTGAGTGATGAGTTGACAAGCCGCGGTTTTAAAGCTGTTAAATAATACAAGGATTTTCATGTATGTCAGAAAACTGCAGTGCTTGTATGACTCCCATTTTTTAAAGAACTGATTTTTAAATCACTTCAGATCTAAATTGAATAAGTTAATCACGGCAGAGAACTTAGACGAGTTTGAATTTTTGTCGGAATTGTTCCGTTCTTTGTTTCAACTGTTTACCGGATGCAGTAACTTTCTCACGCAGCTTGAAACTACAGTAGTTTCCAGTGAAAGCTAGTTGATATCACTTATTAAACGCATGTCATAAGCAGACAAAAGTGTAGAATTCAGAATTCGCTTCACTGTTTCAAACATTATTAGTTTATTAAAGACGGATAGTAAATTTTTTGGTAATCTCATCCTTGTTTGATTTGTAGGGGAATACCAATCATAACGGTATTGAGGTTTCGGCTGTTTTATCATAAAAATGCATTTTAAATAATCTGGAAGAGCACAAAACAAGTGATAAAACTTGGAAAAAAAAAAGAGCACGTGGAGGCAAAATCTTTTGTTAAAATGGACGTCAGATGATTTATGATCCCCTAGAGATTCAAATAACGTTCGCCTCTACATAACTCCATGAATAAAAATTAAGCTGCACTTTTTCACCATTTTCAAGAAACAAAAATCGTCCACTAGTGCGTAGTTTCCATTCCACCAATAAGCTTAAGCATTTTTCTTCATTTCCATCAAGCCGTGCCAGCTTTGAAAAATTCTGTTTTCAGAATATTGTGGATTTCCTGAAACTAATTGAAAATATGATACCAATCTCATAAGGACGGAACGAATGTGAAAACTTGCCTCTTCTGCAAAGCATAGTATAAACCATTCTGGAGTACCATGCTGAAGTGTGGTATCAACCTTCTAGTCTCGTCGAATTGTCTGCAAAAAAAAAAAAAATTGATCAGAACAGTTGAATCCAAAATCTAAATAAATCACGCCCATTAATTTTAATAACTTCAAAGGTTTGCTAGGTCTTCAAGAACTAAAATCATGAAGGTCGCAAAATTCATAGTGAATTGTGACTGTAGAAAAAAAAAAAAAAAATCGAATTTTCATGCGTATATCAGTCGTTTCTCTTTGGAACAAATATTTTGATTTTTGACATTGCTATTCCTTTTTCATATATTTTATTGAACCGTCTTAATCATTAATCCATATTTCGAGAGAATTTTGTGAGTAAATTACTATAATTTCATTTAGTAAGGAACGCGCATTACTTTTTGTTAATGATGCGAATAATCATCATTCATACATAATGTTTTATGATCATCGTGGTTTTTATCAACAAATGTTTACGATCATAGTCAATTAGTAATTTTCAGGCCCTTAAATAACTCTTCAAATTTTTTCAAATTTGACTCAGGTTTCTTCATATGTTACTTTCAAAACTATCACTACCACTTTTTATTTCGACTGTTTTTCCATTCTACTAGTGCTAAAGTAACAAGGATGAGGTACATAAGATGTGCCCAGCAGTATAACGAACTTTCTTCTTTAATTTGATTCAGTGAAGGACTATTCGAAATGTATCTGAAGGGGAAGACAAAGATTGCCAGAGGAAAAATCATTTATCATGGATATGTTTAAATTAGTAGTTAAAGACAGCAATTCAGGTGCTCTAGATTAACGAGTAATCTCTCTTCCCCCGTTTATTCCTTGATAATTTTATTGAGTTGTTAACATCAGTTTATTTCTATCAGATAAATCTAATACATTCCTATATTTAATATTTCTACATTGAATCAGCTACCTTAAGCCTATCCTGAAAACAAAAATCATGGAGTAAGATTAAATCTAATAATGACATGCGTAAAAAATGGTAGTTCACTACCCTGAGATCACGTACAGTCTTTTTCAGTTGAAAACAAATTATGAACCCGTTAAAAAGACGACCACATTTTAACGTTTTGGACAAGATTACCGCTAAGGTGCTAGAACTACTTCAATCATAAATCAATATTGGGTATGTGGACTCAAACGCCTTTCCAACTATTTCGCCAAAGCTCTGTTGTTGGTACATATGTTTTCACTCAATATAAAATGAATCAGCTCCTGCTATATTGACAGCAACTTTTACAGTGAATAAAGTAAGACTTCTAATGAAATTCATATTATAAAAACTTTACACTAGAATCAATGTTATCTGAATGCAATCCAGAAATTCATTAAGGTACAATTTCTTAGAATGGACTGTACAATTTAAAGTCTAAAAATGATTAAGTGCAAAATTTGTCAAAAACCATATCACAATGAAACGGCAAAACAGTAAATCATCATATTCAAGAAAACGTGATAAATATAACTACAAAGCTCGCACCGAGCACTTAACTGGGCAAAACAATAATGCATAATTTACAATCCTGGATAGAGATACATTTGCAATACAAACTTTCAATAGAACTTTTGAAATACAACATTTGCAATACAACCTTTGCGCCTAACTCTTCTGATGTTGTGCTCTCCTTACTCCTCAAACTAGAAAGCTACATCGAAATTCCTCTACTCACATCCATATCTCCACAAGTTTTTGCATAATAATACCAAAAAAAAAAAAAAAAAAAAAAAAAAAAAAAAAAAAAGAACTCTTAAGCTTTGCACAAAAATGCATTCATCATGAATAGCATGTCGAGGTAGTAGAAATCAGTTAAAAAATTATTGATCAAGTTTCAGAAAGTTCATGAGATGAACCAATTTCTTTACAGTGTTAATCGCATCAGCAAGCACCATGAACATGCAATTTGGATATAATTTCAAACTTAATTTTTATTACTACTCGATTCAAGATCTATTTTCTGAAACCGTGATACTAATAAATTATAGCGATTAATATGTATTTTCTGGAGTCTCTCACAAGCTTTTATGGATAATGTGCTTAATTTCGAATTATTCCAAGCATTGAACATGCCCACGGAATATACGGTTTTCACTATATTGCCAATTGATCTACGACAAAGCACTAATTAACCCTAGCTCAACACTTTTCAAATTTCACAGGAGAAAGCCTGAACAGAAATTTCCTCTAACTTCCAATTTCATACTCACTGCAGAACTCGACATTATTTATAAGACATATTTTATAATCGTTATTTCTATCCAGACCCTTGTTTTTCGGACATATGTCGAATTTCAGATCCTTGACACAACCTATCTTATCTGAAAATTTCGTTTATTTACTACACAAAAGTTTAAGAAATTTCTCATAAATAATCCAAAAAAAAAGGATGAAAAATGTTATAAAATCAATCAAGGGCAATCACCTAACTACAGACAAAATAGCTAACGGAAGATAAGGACTACGTACAAACAAGGAAGAAAGAGGAATTATTACTTCATTTGCTCTAACCACATCTAAAGGGACGAAAATTTCTTCACAAGATTGGGACATGAATCGCAAGTAACTGCAATAAGGGACAAAACTTCGCATTTCAAACATATTATCGTATGTAGTTGATACCACTGATAAATTACGCATGCACCATAATAAATAAAACTTACCTACAATGTGTACTGAAGTACAGAAACCACAGCACATTTACCTTGTCAAGTGGCAGTTTCAATAGTGACAAAAACCAAAGAAAAAAGCAGAGTTTGGGAAGTTGTGGCTTGAGGGTACAATAAAACCGAAATTAATGAAGACATGGTACAGTATGACACTAGTTAAATTGGTGATATATTTTCTGCTGAAAATTCTAATTAAATCCTAATGCTTACTCCATTTGTTTAAAGAATATTTTTTGCCGTAATACGCCTGGGCTACATCATTCCTTCGTTGAAAAACACATCGACATTCCTCCCTTTCCTGTTCATTCATTGGTCGTCGTCTTGGAAATTCCGAATAATATTTGTCATATATTTCAAACATCTAGAAAATAAATATGTCAAGTACTTAGGACGCTTTGAAGATGAGAACTAAACAACAAAGAATAGCATTAAAGTAATTGATAATCAGATGCTACAGCAACCAAAACTATTTAAAAGACTAGATAAAATTAAAGCCTTTACAAGATGAAAAAGCTAACGTCCTGATCTGCTTTGTCCAGTGCTTGCTCTAACTTCATGCGCAAATACTCCGCGAGTAAACGATGCCAAATTTTAGCAACCACACTACGCCACGGTATCTCTTTTTCAGTAAGCTCCGTTTGCAATTTCTTTAAGGCTGCAGATACTTCATCCTGTATTAGAAAATATTATGATCAAAATCCACAAAACAAAATCTAATAAATAAAATATCTTAACCAGTCAAGTATCTCGTCATAAAATGAAGCTGCTAACCTCACTGTAATCTTTTTTGCCTGATGGAGATTTCCTAACTAACTCTTCCACACCTTCTGGTCCGATTTCTTGGATAACTTTGCTGCATTTGTTTAGATCAGGCTCTTCATCTGAAAGTTTAAGAGCTTATTCATTAAATTTACTAAATTAGATAAAAGAAATGCCCTGTTTGAATCTCTAGAAAAACTGATACACAGTTTATTACCAAATCTACGGAGGTAATCGGCTAAAGCACAATTTAGCATTTCTAATGTGTCTCCACAATTGGCTGCAACATTTCCTCCATAATTTAGGCCATTAAGATGAGCGACTGGAAATGCATCCTCCCTTTCAGCCCCTTCATTTTTGATTAACCAGTCGTTAGTTTCAAGCTGAACCAGTGAGAACGAATCTTTCTCTAAAATGTGAAACTCTTCTAAAAATAAATGGAAAGTACTTGAACAAATATGACTGATTAAAATCCAAATAAGATCTTCCTTGTACTACCATCTTTAATGCATTAATCTTACATTACAGTAGTTTTTCCAAAATATAAACATAGGTCTTACTAGGAGGGCAGCTTTTTTTATCCAATTTCGGAAGCACACCATTGTAATGATTACCTAAGTTACCAATTCTCTCACTGACATACGCGCTGATGAGATCATTGAGCAATGATGTAGTTTTCCTTGGTGATTGTGACGACGGTTTTTTTTCAAATCTAAAGGAATATTATAATAATGAACAAACAAGACTGATAAAAATTTCCTCTTCCAAGAAATCTGTTTATATTAGTTACCGTGCTATTTTATTCGGCGGTGGCGATGAGTCACTGTTAAACAGCTTTAACCTTGCGGGTGAAGAGATATTTTTACTCACTATGAAAGACCTGGAAGTAAGTATTAAGTATGAGTAGAAACATAAAACTACTTAAATCCATTGTAACGGCAACTCAAAAAAGTATATATTTCTTCGAAATTCAAAACCAAACATGGTAATGAATTCAATGTCTCAGAATCTAAAAAACTAAGCATAATTACTTATTCCAGTGAAGTGATGCGGGAGCACACCATTTCGAAAAAGAAGGTAGAGAGCTGGCTTTACCATCGTGCAGTACGGCGTCACAACAATTACTTTTCTTTGCTGTCACTGTAATAAAAAGTAAAGTTATATTTACTTTAAAAAAGTTCCGAAATACTTGACAATGACAGGCTGAACAATATTCATCTGATCCACGAACTTTCATCACTCGGCTTACCAGTGACTCATTTTTCCATTTCTGCCGCTATACATTCGCTCTTTCTAGCAAATATTGTAATAGCAAACAGTAAGCGAAAATTTTCAAGAATCTCAAGTGTAGAATTCCCTATTGTTTCAGATCCAAAAATATCTTTGCAACTACGCTTCCTTAATGCAACATTATCTTGGCACCTTTGATATCCAAAATTCCAATATATCTAAGGAAGGGCAACGTAGTTAAACAGTTTTTATAGTCATCCTGAAATAAAGACACAAGCCCAATTACCTGGACACAAATCAGACTGCAACTTCGAGACACTATCATTCTTAAAAAGCTGAACAATACTTAACCACCACTGATGCAGGTATTCTTCATCTACGGGATCAAGATATTCGCGAGCGAAAACCCAGAATTTTTGGGACAAATTGACTGGTGGCCAAACATCAAAACCTTCATCCAGCCAATTTATTTCACCATCCATACACGAATCTTCCACTATTCTGAATCGAGAAAAAAAATGACATAATCATGCAATAACAGATATCTTTGTCAAATAGTAATAAAAGGAAAAAATTTTGAAAATCTGAGTTACTGTTACACAAATCACCTCAAAAACTAACTCACGGTTCTCTCTCAATTTCTTTACTGCAGCTGGGTAGAGGTTCCGAAGTTTTAAGCTCATATACAGGCATGAGCCTGATGGAGATATCATCAGAAGGGTAATCGCCAGTAGTCAAGAAGGTAATCTCTCCATAAATTTTTTTTTGATGATCAGTCGTGTGCACCAGTATTTGCTCCAACTCTATTTGTAATTTGTCCTGAAATTAGCTGTAACCAGCGGTATGAAAAATTTAGGTACTTTTACCGTTGCATGGACCACGTCTGTGGTTATGCACTAAAACAGAAGTTTTATGTTAAATTTATCCTAGTGGCAACAGCAGGACTAAATGACTTTATAAAGTTAAGAAAAGACCAAGTCAGAGAATGTAACTGCAACATTCTGGCAGTCTCCATCACTTGTTACGGCTAGCAGCTTGGGACATTCACGCACACAATCAAATTCGGCAAAATCTGGCGTTGGCGTCACCAAATCATTCAGAGATCCACGTCTTGTATGTAAGGGAGATAATGCGCCTGTAAACAAAGAAAAAAAATGAACCATGTAGTCAGAATGTGGAAACTAAAACAATTCTCAAATGTGATCAATAAATAACGAGGTAGGCTAATACGACTGCCTGAAGTTCAGCACAGTTTATAATGATCCTGCCCACAACGGATTTATACGATCAATAGTCATCAATATATATCTTTACCAAAAAACTTCATATGTTAATGACGATCCTGACCTGCTTTAAAACGATGACTATGGTTGAGATGGAGAAGAAAACCTCGCACAACAAGACAGTCTTAAATTATGAAAAGTGAAGCGTCATATTATCAGTAGAATAACTCTAGTGGATGATGAAGCAGCAACCAACAGTGAAAATGAAGGACAGGAAAGAGCTCACCGTTCATAAGTTGCTGGGATCTGTCATCCGGAATTCGAGAGAGCTTGTACGGCAGTGAAGAACTAGGCGATCTCGACAAATGCGAACTCTCTATTCTCCTATATTTCATGATCTTTCTAACCATTCTAAAGTGCCCATTGGCTATGTGTGTGACGCCTGAATACCAAATCTATACACCTGCAACGACAAGCAAGCCACATTAATACACACTGCTATCCACCCAACTAAAATCCAAGCTTTGTTCGTACAAAAAATTTGGCCAATGGCCAATTCTCGTTAGGACCGTTGTACATGTTGGAATGTAATACCACTTCAAAGGGAAAATTGTTCACATTGACTCAGCGAAATAGTACAACGTGTGGTTGGAAGAAGTAGCGTCAGGACGTACTGGAATGTAAGCAAGGTTTGGTGCTGTTTTAAATAGGCTATCGTTCATTTGAAAGTGGCAAATGTTGAGCCTTGATGGACGCTTGTATCATATATTCTCTTGATAAGTAGAAACATAACTTGCACTGCAAGAACTTAACAGACATTGCAGATTAATGTACCCCATCATTTCTGGAGCGGCCGTAATGTCTCAAATAGATTTCTAAGTTATTGTAGCTTATTAAAGAAATTATTGACGCAAAAACAGTTGTTATTGGAAGGAAACTTAATGGTGTCTGGTTATTTAGAGATATGAAGTTTCATACAAATTCCACTGGCATTCACCGAAGCATTTTTGAACGATGCAATATATGCACTTTACCACTGATGGTCAACCAGCAGTCATATTAAAATGAATTCTTAAAAGTTTGTAATCTTACGAAAGCTCATGATCGCTTTTGCTTGATAAGCAGTCTCCCACATGAAGGAAACATTGCGCTATCATCGTCTAAAAGTTTACATATAAATAAAGTTGTGCTTTTTCTAGATGATTTCTACACTATCCACAACCGCCCAGTTGCTTAGCATGACCTTTTGTTGATTGTAATGCAACTGGTACTCCTGCTATCTTGTAACGTCTATTTGCTTAATATATCAGAACAGTTAAATCATCCCATATAGGCCATCTTACAGATTGATGTCATGCGAAACTTTTGTAAATAATATAAACGCAAAAGATATGAGACAACTGACGAATAAAAGATTGTGGATGTGGGAATGTTATGTGTTTCAATATGTTGAGCGATGACCATGATTGTTTTTACTTTATTGAATCAACTATGGTGGTATGCTTCTATACTTACATTAGTTTAAAATTCTGATTTCGAATAGAAAAAAATGTCTATTTACTGTCTCTCGAAATAGTTGACATATAAGCATGAATCGAACAATACTGATTCATATTCCTAGCACATAAAGAATATCTGCTACAGTTGATTACTAGTCACGTTAATTGTAGTGAGCCTTGTCTAGTAGTAATTTTTTCGGAATGGAAAATTCTCATTTTTCAATATGAAGTTACTATTTCACCCCTCCTGTCTCTTTCTTGCTCTTCCTATAACACATGCATAAGCTCACCGTACCCCACTTCTCTTATTACAACCTTTGTGTATCCGCTTATACATTGCTGTGTCGGACAATATATCGCATTATAATCAACTGCAGTTACCCCGCTGTATACCAGTATGTCATCCGCTTCCTCGTATCTATTCTTGCCTTAATATGAGATAGTTTCAAAGTATTTAGTGATGGTGACTGTTGATTTTAAAGAATGCACAAGAAATTTTTGGCTCTCGGAATAGTAAAACATCGCGGCTGGCGAATTCCGCTTATTATCGAACGCGCTAACCACTGAATAACTTTACGTGCTGCTGGAAACCTTAGCTTAATTTGACAAAAAAAGTGTCAAATTTTAGTATAAATCAAGAACTAATGATGTCATGTTTACCTGCAGTTCTTCCTTAATTTACAGCTTGTGATTGGGAGAACATATCGTATCGTCCTGAGAAAACTCCTTCAACTGTTTAATTTTTTGAGTGGTCAGCGTATATTAATGTATTATTATATATTAGGGCTATAGTGTCACATCTCCGGTTACAATATATCCTCATTGATTCTTTCGCTGTTGCGCGCCACAAAGCAATTTGAAACTTTGAGCCCGTAGCGCGACTGCGATCTTGGCTTCTGGAGCTGCGCAAGATTTCAGGGTTCAATTCAGGTAGTAGGTAGTCTCTCATACAAGTCCGTTTTGGCGACCTTTTAAATGGAACATTAACTGCATCTTCGAAGTCTTAGTTCCGGACTTTTAAGTATTTTCGGAAATCAGATAATGCCTATTAAAGCACTGCTTCTGCTGTTATACGGACTCCCTTATCCTTGGCCATAATTTGGAGAGAGCACTACGCCACATGGAAACTGTGGAACACGACCAGTGACCATCAGCTGTGCTTCCTTTGCCTATCCAGGACATTCATAACTATTTCAATACTGATAACTTGTTGCCGCGCGACGACGCGACGAAAGAAGTGGTGTGGCACGACCGACATCAATTGTTCAAGCGTTGTTTGTGTCTGTTTGGTCAGTCGGTAGATAGGTCGGTACCGATGTTTGTTATTTTATGTGTGTTGCCGTATGCTGGGTTTCAACGCTTGGGGAAGTGGTGTATATAAATGTAAGAGTTGGGTATATTACGAAGTTAGGTCACGTAGCGTAAGGTGGACGACAGGTCACGCAAGTACACATTTCAATAGTTTGTTTTTCACTGAGCTTTTAGGGTGTAGTTACAATTCGTGATTTTATTGTTCGACTCTGTAAGTTTAGGGAAACTCAAAAGTTCCCATTTCTAGCTACAAGTGAGGGAATATTTCATGAAAAAATAGCTTAGAACTGGTATAATTGAACGAGATCGGGAGGGATATCCATTTGAAGGTTAAAGGGTCATGGCTTTGCTGCGGACAAAATTTAAAAGTTCTGAAGTGCATATATGGTTGTGTATATGTGTATTTATGTGATAGGATACTAAATGAAATATAGGACTTTCCGTTACTTGTCTCTGGTTTCAAAGGTGTCACGTTAGTGTTTGAAATTTGAATATTACCAGTGAGCGCCAACAGAGCTTGTCGGGTGCACTATGTAGCACGAATAAATCCCTTTGGGATTTTTCCGTACTACCCCCATTTCCAGCGCTTAACTAGCGTAGGAGTGAGTGAAAAAGGCAGGTGAAACCTGCATATTAGTTGGAAATTTTTGGCCTATTTTATTCTATTATGGAAAACACAGTATTAACTTTATTAGTTGAGCAATCTGAATTGTAACTATTATTGGGATTTCTAAAAGAGCTGGAGGAGTTTACTGGAGATACCGGTCCTTTTCTTTTTTTCTTAGAATGTGAGAATATTGGTTGGAATAGTGGAGTAGGCTGATGTTCACTGAGTCCTGATGTCAGCTTTAATTCAAAAGTTTCCTACAGATGAAATACTGCGGATCTTAAATTATGTTTCAGATGTTTAGATGTGATTTAGCCCTTATTACAGAAAACTAAAGTGTGTGCCAATAGATAAGTTGATAATGATTCCGCTGAAGCCTATGATGCAAAAGTCTGCTGACAGCCCTGAAGAGTTGTAAACAATAATTTTTCAGTGTTCGTTTTCCCAAGCGACTCTGTTTTATTCTTCGAGAATATTGTGACAGAATTTCCAAATCATTGTACAAACAAAATTTATAGATATTTCCAAATTCAGATCTGGAAAGGTATCTGCTCCGTACAGGTCTTACCTCATCTGGAAAATATCTCCATCCGATTTGTTTTAAAGTCCATGAATTTGAGGCTGAAAGATGCCTCGTGCTGAGGAGGTTGGTGCATTGGGTGCAAACCTGATAATTTCGAAGACTGTTTCCTCCTTTCATCTTCAATAAGTATTTCGAATATATAAGTTTTTCGTGAAGGGATTGATTGCTGCCTCTTCCTTCCCTACGCCAAGGATTTCCAGTTAATCACGGTTAGGTTCCTTCTCTTTAAATGCTGTCGAGTGGGTTTTGGTGTTGAGTTGACGTGGACCGCCACCGTCAATATATATTATGGTGAAGGAGTACATGTTGCTCTGGGATCGATCGATATGTGGACGCTCTCGCATGCGGCAACTGCCTGAATTCGCACGCGGCAGCTGTAACCCACCGAAACTGAACGGATTGCGAACGCTGACCGGGACTCTCTTATTAACAATTTTCGTCTTTCGGTTCTGTTACTGTTAAACCACGTTTTGTATACTTCCACACTAGACTGTACTGACAGTATTTTGCTATGTTCATGGAATTCCGGTTCTGTTCCAGACAAGAGTATTAAATTCAGTTGACGCTGGGACATCCATTACATATCTGTCCCATTTTGAAGTCTGCACAGCTATTATTTTAAAACTCTACTGAGGAAGTTCCCGTATCTTTTGGATTTTATTCACTTTTGTCAGTAACATGGAGGTGAACTGGAAAGTAAAGTTGAGTTGTATATCACACTGTCATACAAAAATACAGGAATGGTATTGAGTGATCGCAGAGACACAAATATTTCGGATGGACCTTGATCTTCGTTTTCAGGTGTTTGGGTTATTCTTCGTTCATCCAATCTCCGTAATGGGGTACCGCTTTTTCAGTACTTCTTTTCTGTGAGGCAAATACTGGACTTAAGGGGGTCGCTTTCTAGAGATGAATTGAATATTGATGATTTCAACTCAATCTTCAACTGTTGGATGCGGTACTGACTTTTGTTTCTGGTCATGACTTATAACTGATTTGTCTATCATTCAGTTCAAAAATTCACTGCTTCATTTCTTGTCCTTCTGTTTTTCATTTTTCCAGTGTGTTTCCTAGGACGTTATTCTTCGCGAGGTGCTATTCCCTTTTCTAACTGACGTATTTTAAATATAGGATGTTTATTTTCAGTTGGTGCTTCTTCAACCGTTCTGTTTTCGCAGTGCATGGTGCAAAATGATTACTTTGGACGATGAGTCGACGGCTAACAATTGTAAAGTGACTGAGAACGAAGTGCATACGTCAGTTGGTGTTGATATGGATTCTGCTTTACAAGTAGTTTTTAAATTTTCGAAACACGTTAACATTCCTGATCTATAAATGGAACGTCTTCTATGTCTTTCTTATCAGCAATAAGTTGATTTAACTTGTAATAAGTTAATTTAAATTGACAGCTTAATTGGTAAGTCAGTTGGTTAATTAATAAGTCACTTAATTAAGTTGACTTGCAGTTGTGCGAGATGTTCTTTTGTGATCTTTTTTTGACCCGTCCATGATAACTTCATCCACTTCTGTCTTGCAGACATCGCTGAAGAAGGCTCAAAACAATTCGATCTCAGATAATATTTCAAGGAATTATGTGGATAAATCAATAGAAGCTATCAGAAATGGTGTCTGGGTTAATGAAAAGATTGTAAACGATGAAGAGCAGCATCGGGATGACAGGAATAATGGAGATTGCACGAGGCCAACTTTCTCCGGTGAAAATGGTTGTATTGACAACGTTGATGAAAAGGGTATGTTTTAGGATCATTTTCAAATGTGAAATTTTGGTCGGTTTCTTGTAATTTATATTGATGAGCACGTTATAAACTTTTTTTTTTCTTAGTTAATCATATGCGCTTTAATGAGATAGTCTAATTTCATTCTGAGAAATTGGTAGGTACTTTACAGATGCTAATGGATTAGATACGATGGAAAATGACATTGTAATTGAAAACGAGCCTTGTGGAAATAAAGGAAATGGTAAGACAGCAATGTTCATAGAAAGTAGTAATAAATCGACACCTGTGGAATGCATAGGTAAGCAGTGTTAATTCTTGGAGTCTTAACTGATTAATACTTATAAAAGAAAGTGTTATCCTTATTGAAGTGTATGAAGTCCCGTATTTCAATTTCATACTTTTTTTGCCAGCCGTATTTTCTGTCAGTGCTGACTCCTTTTTGTGTACCACTCTTTATTGCCAAAAATCTATGAATCGAATATGCCTTTGCATTTCTATAGCTTTTTTAAGGCTTGCTGGACTTTCTTTGGAAAAGATTAGATTATTGGACTACTATGTTGCCACGATTAAATTAATTTTACAGAGCTAGATGACGACCATGATGAACCTGATTCAAGTGGTGAGCCACCTGCAAAGAAGAAAAAAGCAAAATCACCAGTGCCAGATGATCCAGACACTCAGGTTCAATTGCATTTTTCTCAGAGCTGCATATTATGTTATGAGTAAACAAAAAATAAATTTTGTTTTGCAAGATTTTAAATGATATACATTTTAGGCGGGAGAGAAGAAACCAGAATTGACCAGTGGTGAAGCTTTATTGAACAAGTTAGAGGCTTATGTCAAAGATGCAATTGAGAAGAATGCGAATATTGAAAGGTGAGCAAGTTCTGTGAGACGACGATAACTGGTATAAGACATATTTCTTTCATCGTTGATCACGCGAAAATTTTGGTAGTTCTATGGTAAATGGGAGTGATTTATGGGCAAAAGATCCTTAATATAGTGGTGTATTTGGTTTAGGAATAGCTATCCAATGAAAGTCAGAGATCATGAGATGTTGTGTCTTTAGTATTCTTTCTGCATTTTCTATGCAGGAAAGTGTTGGATGCATTATTAGGAGCCATTAATATTCAAGTGCAACGTGAACCTCTGTCAGTTCGAAAACTTATACTGGATAAACAGCTGGTGTTGCCAAACACCATTAGTTTCCCGCCATCGCAGGTATCTTTCAACATTTCTGTGCAAAAAATTTAACATCTTTGTATTTTGAAAGTCATCCGCTTTTAAGTAAAATTGAAATGCTAAAATGAGTTCAAAATCATCCGGATATTTAACGCGTAGAGGCCAGTAAATTGTTCTTAGGTTGTCGATTTGCTGATCGAACATGATCCTGATGCACCTTTATCAAAAGTAATCGGACGGATGTTCGGTGACGAAAGGCCAAAGCTTTCTGAAGCTGAAAAACGCGAACGACATTTGTTGAAATTGGGGCATCCCGCTCCTCATATGACGAAGTTGTTAATGGACATTGGACAAGATCTTGTCCAGGAATCTACATATTCTGACATCGTCCATGCAAAAAATTTGCCTGAAACTCCGAAAAATATGGAAACGTATAAGCAGGTTTTTATGTTTTTTATAATTTTCATTCCATAATTTCAATTATTGCTTGCTTTTTTCTTACGTTGAAGTCCATGGTTTGGATTCAGTTTCTTCATCAGTTCCTTTGCAACTTGTAGAAGATAATTATCTTTAATTATATCTTTTATGTGTATATCTTAGTTAAATTTATATCATCTATGTCTTTAATTAAAAATCTCCTAAAACATATAAGTCCTTTTTGAGGTTGCACAACAGCTTAAACCAGTGTGGGAAGCCTTGCGAAAGAAAAATGAACCCTATAAACTGAAACAGTATACTTGTCAGCTCTGCAACTTCCGAACCGAATCACGAATCATTCTTTCGGTGCATCGTCAAACACCACACTTTGATGGCAGGAAATACCAATGTGCACTATGTCCTGAATTCTTTACCAATGAAAATATGATTTCACAGCATTATCTGTAGGTTTTTTGTTCATCTTACTTATCTTGTGGCATAAATGGTCTCTGGTTATTTTCTAGATTACTAAACAATTTTAATACGATTATGTCAAGTTCAGAAGGGAACATGATTTGGTAGCTGGAAAAGAAGAAGCTATTCCTCGAAACCCTTGTCCATGTTGTAACGAAGATTTCATGTACAAAGGACAACGAGACCAGCATCTGAAAATGTGTCGTAGAGATCTGAATAGAGTTCGGTGAGTACAAGTTATGGATCCACTGTAGAAATAAATACCCTAAATTTTTATGGCAAGATATGGAAGAAGATAGCGGTTTTCATCTTGCATGTTTGAATGAGTTAGCTAATTTGATAGTCTGCGTGATGGTTTCATAAACTTCTAACCTCAATCCAGCTTGTATTCCAGCCTAATAATGGCACCAAAGCATCCACAGGATGTCAGTGCCATCAATCATTGGTTATGGGATAAACCTCCAGTTGATCCAACAATATTACAGCAACAACAAGTGGCGCAACGACAGCAAGTAGAGGTTTGTTTATTGATTTTTTTGTTCGCGGAAATATGACGATGTTGAAGCTTCATTTTTTATGACGAAGCTGCTTTCATTGTTTCTACATATCTTCTGAAACTTAAGGATGGAGTCTTATCTCCATTAACTACTCTTGAATTCATTTTAGAAACTGCAACGTGCGCAACTGGCGCAGCAGCAGCAACAACAATTACAACAACGACGTAGTCAGACTGCTGTAACTAATTCAGCACTTTTGGCAGCACAGCAGCAGCAAGCTGCACTCCTTTTACAACAGGTACTATTTAAAAGTTGAGGTTTTAGTTTCGTTTTTGCATTTTCAAAGCATAAATGCATCTTGCTTTTCAGTTATTCATGTTTTTCAGTTTTGGGAATATATGTAGTGTGAAACCAAATACTAGTAGTGTTGTTTTTAACGTTCGTATTTGATTGTGTTCGATAATTTAAAAGAATTTATAGCAAAGGATAAGGGCAGCACAAGCGGTAGCTCATCAGCAGCAGCAGGCAAAGATGTCTTCGTTAATAGGAAATCCAAGTCTCTTGGCAGGTAAAGAAATATGTGACTTCCGATCAGTGTTAGAAATAAGAGAGTTGTATGTGATCATTTCTTGTCTTCCAGTTTTATTCGAAAAAGATCTAGTCAATTTTCAGTTTTAAGTAGATTCTCAAAGCCCTTAACCATAAACTGTTATATTTTCTAGCAATGCAGCAACAGTTACAGCGTGCTGCTGTTAGCGGAATGCGTACTCCGGGGTTATCTTTATTCGCCCAACGCGGAGTGGCTACCGGAATCCGTGGACCAACTGTGGCCCAACACACAGCCGCTTCACTTGCTGGACGTATTAGGGCACCACCGCAAGTATTTTTTTTATATGATTTCTGATAACATGTGCAAGTTAATATCATATAGTTTTGTTTATATTATAGTAGTGTCAAAGCTTGTTGCTTGTGCTACATATAAAAAAGCTGAACATTATCTTAATGTTATGGGTTATCATAAATTTATTGCGAAGCATTTTTAGTGCAGAACCCTCATGGTCTTTATCTATGTTGTTCGGTCTAACTTTCTTTCTGATGAGAGATTTTTTGTGTTTATTAAAATAATTTGGAGATTTTCTCAAGCTAAGTATGAAAAAAGATGGGATTTTAATAAAACGTATTCAATATTCCTAAAAGAGAGCTCGGAGCAGTCTTTGCTCTCATTTGAAGTGCTAAATTGTGAGGATGTCTGACTTGCAACGTAGGAGCTTATATTTTTCAGAATCATCCATCTTAATACATGTGCTTCATCCACTTTTTTAGGCGAGTGAAGTTTCAAGTCAGGGTATTCGGACTGGAGTGCCATACACCATGGACAAAACCAGTAGTTTTTTGTTTGTAGGTTCCAGCATCTCGTACACAATTAGGTGGAGTTGTATCCTCTGGACATAACAACAATGTTTGTGAAATCTGTGATCAGAATGTCCAGGATAGGGATCGATATCTGACACATTTACAACTCTTTCACAAACAGATGCGTGGGAAAACATCAGCTGATATGCAGCAGGTAAACAAGCATTTCATAACACAATGAATACAATCTGTTGTTCCCAGTTTGCACAGAAATATATCTATTTTCCTCCCTCAATCTTTTGTTTTTATTCGTCGCATATATTTCATTATAATCTGTTTCAGGGTGCACCATTGGCATGTAGTCGTTGTCGTGATAGATTCTGGACATATGAAGGACTGGAACGACATCTTGTCATGGCACATGGCCTCGTCACTTCTGATCTCTTAACAAAAGCACAGAAAAAGGAAGATGGTGGGCGTTGCAAGCATTGTGGCAAGGTAATATTTGTTCCTCAGTACTTTGTTTCCGTTGTTTAAATTTGAATCGATAGCTTTTTCATTAAACATCATTTATAGCTTTTTTTAGCATTTTTTTTAATTGATATAAACATTAAACTCTTTCCAGCAGTATGCATTCAATATGTTGCAACATTTGGTAACGGATCATCAAGTAAAATTATGTTCTGCTGAGATTATGTACAGCTGCGATGTTTGTGCCTTCAAGTGCAGTAGCTACAGTAAACTCGAAGTACATTTGAACACTGTACATCCTAAAAATCCTGCTCAAAATTCTGTTTTGAACAGTGCAGTCAGCTCAACATCGGGTAATTTTGATTTGTTTAGAATTCACTTCATTTACCTTAGATATGTGAACATTGCTTTGCTGTTGAAAGTTGTTGGAAACATGTTGGAAGATTCAGCTTTGCTTATTAGCCAGTTGTGTGTTGCTGTGCCCATGCTTAGCTTGTGGAATTCATGGCCTGTTGCATGTTTTTTGTTCCTCATATTTCTGGGAAACAAATATGGATAGTGAAATTAGATTTGATATCTGACAAAGCTACTTTGTCTTTAATTCTCTCACAAGTTTAATTTGCATGTTTTTTGAGGTCGGGACACAGTTTAAAAATATAGATTCCTTCTATGACACAATTACTTTCCGTTCAGTTATTTTGTTTATGTGCTAACCGATTTTTTTGCTCGCAGATTTTCCGTCTTGATCTGACGGGAGATAAGTACTGAAGACAGAAACGAAGATTTGGGGAAATTTTGGACCAGATCTGGACAGATTATCTCGAAATTTCGAGTGTTAATAATTGGAACTAACGGAAATAAAAATGTCATGCATGAATTGCACCGATGTTTTCGATCAAGTGATTCATCACAAAAAAGTGTATGATAAAATCTTGAAGGCTTAGAAGGATGTACATGATTGCAGTACTTCGTTTTAACTCGCTGTCTGATTGGAAAAAACAATGCTGGACGATGAGGCGAGAAAAAGTTAAGTATTGTAACATTTACTTCTATGAAAAACACAATTCGCAGCTCGGGGTTATGCTTTACGGAATCGACCAGAACAGGCAACTTATGCAGCAGGTTTGTTTATCCCAAAAACTTCTTGTAAGGGTTAATTTTAAATTTCTTAGGTAAGTACGCGTAGTCTGAGCTGAGCATATTAGAAATTAGGACTAATTTGCTTGGTAAAATCAGATTACTGAATCAGTAGTTTTATATGTTTAGATAGAACTAATAATTCCTGTAGTAGTTAAGTAATATTTATTTTGTAGCTTTCATATTTGCTATATCTAAAAATTGTCGCGGAAATGTTAGGAAGATTTTCGAATGTAAGGAATTTGAAGTTGATGATATAGAGACAGTCATGTTAAATATGGTTTAGTGGCACTCGAATTCTAAGTTTGCGCAGACTTGTCTAACGTTTTTTGGCAGTGGAAGTGTTCTTATTAATTAACGTTGTGTTTCACCAAAGCACCTGAAGCAGCAGCTATCATTAACAGAAAACGCCATTTGTGCTTTTTTTGTTCTCAGCATGTTGCTAACAGTTTTGATTATGCACTCCTTTTATATGGCAAAATTCAAATTGATAATGCATTAGTGTTGCTTTATTTTTCCCATGAATGCCTTGTGTAATTGTGTTTCCGATAGTTTTTTTTTTTTTTTTTTATATTATTAAACTATCTCCATGCTTACTAAAACACAGTTATACAACAGGAATTTTGCCGAATTGAAATGAACAGATGGTTAAGTGTCTGTGATTCACTTGTAGTCATTCACTCGAGGGTTTCGTGCTGTTTTTAGCATTTTTTTTTTCTTGATCAAAATCCTGACGGGATATTTGTTGGATGCCAGCTTTGTTGACTGGTCCGGTTTTATCAGACCTGATAACTTTAGTTCATTTACTTGGAATTGGGATTAGAACAATGTCGCGAAAAACACATTTTGATGCCCTCTTCGGTTGTATATTTTTAACTTTATATGCTTTGAACATTTAGTTCAATAACCGACTGTGAAACTAAGGGTTTTCTTTAACTGAAATATTTTTAGGAGCAAGGAAGGTTTAACTTTTTGGGTCGCAGACTGTTCAGGCCAGAGAGACATCGGTTGGTATCTTTTCGAGCTGAGGGATTATTATTCGGTATCCGGTGTGCTTGAAAAGAAATGTTACTTTTTCTGATTTTGTTTCCCGTCATGCCTCAATATCCTGTTACTTATCTGTGCAGCAGTTACCTGCATATCAGTTGAGGGTGAGTGGTTTCGCTGATCGGAATAATGTCGAAAATATTTGTGGCTGAACAAAATGGAATTCATTTGGTCAGGAAATTTGTGTGTTATTCTCTCTACCTATTTCATTTTACAGTTGTGTGTTTCAAATGAAGTTTTGTTATTGAACTATTGACAATACGTCCGTTTTTGCGCTGCGAGAATCAAAATCGTTCATTTGTGACATTTGTTGTTTGACGTGAGAATTATTTCATGGATAACCCTATAGGATCAGTTGTTTAAATGTCACTATTCACCAATTTTCTCAAGTGTATTCTGGAGTATTTCTATTGCTGATATATTGATTTTATACATCTCCTATTGTGTATAAGCTATATTATTTTCGATTTCCATCTGCGATGTGTTTGTACGTTTCATGTTATTGTTTGTATGTTCAATATCATGGTGTTTTGTATGCAAGCCTCATTCAGGAAAAGGTTGCATTTTGAACTGTTCCCAGTTAAAACTTTCAAATTTTAAGAAATGTTTTTGCGGAAGGAATCTGTCATTTGATGGTAACAGTTTGGAGTCTGGACATCTTTATTCACCACAATATTTGAAAACTGTGCTATTTTGTATTTGTATCAGTGTGGATTTTGTTCTCTTGTTTGGTGATGCTGCCTTGATAATGAGTTCGTAATTGCAGCTAACAGCAGGAAACTAAGACGTTCTACCATCGGATGTGAGCTTGCATATTTAAGTAGAGGGAGTTCTGATCATTTTGGCTTACAATAGATTCCGAATAACACTTAAAGGGTTTGATGAATAATGAAAACAGTTACTGTGGATGAAAATTTATTGATACGAATTAAACAGGACGAATGCAGATTGCGGAGACTTGGAAATTTCAAGGCATGTTACACCTTCTACATAACGAGTTATGTAAATATTGGACCACGTACATTTTTATAGTCCAGGAGTTATTGCCAGGCAGCTATTGCCGATCCTTTTTTCTAGCTGGGTAACGCCACCAATATTCCGCTACTGCCTGAAATAGATTGGAATGATATACAAATAATATCGAACAGGTTAAACGTGTCCTCTGAAATGTGGGACAAATGCATACAACTGGTATATGGTCAGTCTTTCGCATGACAAGGCTTGAGTTACTAAGTCATATGTTTGAGAGACCAAAGATAGATCAAAGATGAATCGTGTGCTTACCGTGTCTTGTATTAAATTCCCATATATGTCATATTTTACAACTTCCACGCGATGTAAATTGACAAGAACGTATAGTGGATAAGACCAGAAACTGGCACCCCAAAAAACATGTGTCCACTTTGGCTAAACAAACAGAAATAAAAGTAGATTAACATTAGACGAATCAATGTGAAAAGCATACTTGGCAGGTCTCAGCGGGTCAACTGCAGGTATTCGGGATTTGAAAATTTGGAACAACTGGACTGTTATTTCCCGATCTTTCAGGTGAGAACCTCACTAACCAGTTTCATTCCTGCAGTTGGTACATGGAACTTTCACACGCTGTTAGGAAGAGATACAATATTCAGATTGCCTTGTCGGAAAAACAATGTGTCCTCAATAAAAGCGCCGTACTCCTCCACTTCAGTCTAATTTAATCCCGCACCTGGAACAATATCAGCCATGAGTGCAATCCCTAAATAAAGTCTCATGTTTGGCCCTACTGCAAAAATCGTAGACAATATGTAGCCTCGAAATGAAACTGACTTTCTCAAAACGACAACTTTCGGCTTGCACGAAGAATTGTCATTTTTCTAAGTGCGCAGTAATGACTACTTCCATAATAGTGCAGATAAGTAATCAGAACTTTTGACTTCCAGGTAAGCTGACGAAATTGTATTGTATACTGTTCATATGCAGGCGGGATGAAGTGCTGGACAAATGGCTGAAATTCTTTTTTGGAAGAAGGGTTTCCAGATGCTCGATAGTATAATTTTGAAAAAAGGCAATACACCAAGTAGTTGACTAGCGGTTGTGCAAGAGATCTGACTAGGATTAGGATGATACATAAATGTAGAATATCGCATAAACGAAAATTTCTGCAGGAAGTCTATTTGAAGGACGACTACTTAGTGTTATTTGGTAATGTGGAGTCATAAGAGCAGTGAGTTTCATAGCGAGAGTACGTCCCCATAATTTCGTTGGAGATGGTGAAATCATCGGCTGCGTTTTACCACTCCGGATTGTTAGAAACTTTAACCTAGCTGGAATAAGCTCCCTTCGTGGTTTGGATGTGAGGAGTCAGTGGCGTATTTCTTTGATGTTATGATAACTTTATTGGTTCCAGGTACATTCGTCATGGATGTAAAGCCAAACCACACTATTTATATCAACAATCTTAATGAAAAAACGAAAAAGGAAGGTAGGTTCGGCCCTTTGAATAGCTCTTCCGTTGTAGTTCTGATGTGCGCAAGCTGAATGAAAGCAGTGTGAGATGTCTTAGAAGTTTTCATTGAAGAAGTAATTTACATTTACTATGACATAAATTTTGTGCTATGAGATTAGTAAAGTATACTTTTTTCAGAGCTCAAAAAGGCTCTTTATGCAATTTTTTCTCAGTTCGGGCAGATCATTGATATAATGGCATTCAAAACATTGAAAATGCGTGGGCAGGTTTGTTTTATTCTTAGTGTATTTTTATGCTTTAAAGATAGTTCAAACCCTATTATATATATATATATATATATATGCGAGATGTTTTGTTCTGATCCTTTCATTTTATGTGTTTATATGTACAATCGCAATTACATATTAAAATGCGATTATGTTAATATCTTATAGCTCACTTTCACCTGTTTGCTTATATATGCAATAAGCAAATACATTTCTGCAGGCACATGTAATATTCAAAGAAATAAGTTCAGCAACGAATGCCCTGCGTGCAATGCAAGGCTTCCCGTTTTATGATAAGCCTATGGTAGGCCTGACTTCCTATATTTGATATACTTAGGACCTTCTACGTATCTTCAGTATTTCTTATATCTACATGGCGTTCTGATTTAATTTTTGCAATTTTTTTCATCTGTGGTTTTTCTGTTTTAACATCGTAAGATAGTAAATCGTTTGTCACTCCCCATCTTCAAACATTGTAGTCCTTTAATGAATATAATGAATAGAGTTTAAGTACCAGAATACTTAAATTATTTCATTTTGCAGCGCATACAATTTGCGCGTGAAGATTCTGACGTTATTGCGAAAGCGAAAGGTACGTATATTGATCGTCCAAAAAAGCATCTTCTTGCTAAACAAGCTGCTGGAGAAAAGCGAAAAAAGACAAGCCATGTAAAAGAGAATAAAAAGGTAGAGTTTCGTTGATGTATATATATATATATATATATATATAATATAAGTCTACTGCACTTAATTTCATGTAGATGCGTATGGACAAAATCGCTACTGGTAAAACTGAGCTTCCGGAAAAAGCAAATCCTCCGAATAAAATCCTCTTTTGCACAAATCTGCCTGAAGAAACAACAGAGCAAATGCTTTCCCTTCTTTTCAATCCGTAAGTTTTAGTCATAATCTTTCCATGATCCAGTTCTTTGATTTTGAAAAAATGCAATACAAAGAGCAGTTCTTGCTGTGCTTATTTGGTTTGTTTGTTATTGGGAAGTATTAGTATTGTGCTGCATGAATTGAATTGTTTCATTAATGCTCTCAATTAACGTTAATTTGAAGTGCAGTATTTGAAATAAGTTCTCTTCCTTTTTTTTACAGTTACCCTGGTCTGAAAGACATCAGACGTATTCCGAATAGGCCAGATATTGCATTTGTTGAATTTGAGACGGAAGCCGAAGCAACGTCAGCTCGTTCTGGTTTGAACAACTTTAAGATAACACCTTCGCAATCGATGTATGTCAATTATGCGAACAAGTGATTTTCCTAGTTGCTTCTTTTGTTTTGTTGATCTCTGGGGTATCTATTTTATTCTCTGTGTGCGGTTGCTTTCATTTATCATAATGTTGTCGTTCAGATATGTTCAGTTTTCCTTGTTTTTATCTACGTAGTTTAAATTGTCAATTTCATGCTGTTTTACAAAGCACTTATCAATTTCATACCCTTTTGCGAACCACTTATTAAATTTATATTGCTTTGTGAACCATTTATAAAATAAAATTCTATAAAAAAAATAAAGTCTATTGATCTCCCATTTTGATTGCGACCAAAATAGCAGGGCACTGTATCCTTACCGGTTGTTAATTTTGATTATGTTTCGTTAATGTGCGAACCAGGAATTGGAGTTTTTCGAAATTTTTAATGTTTAGTTAGCATAGCCATTACTTTTCAAAGAAAGTCTGAAGTGATATATGTGGTAACGAAAAATATTTTAAGGTGTGGTACTTAAGATTTAGTCGAGATGAAAATCCCACTGTCCTGAAGATTGATAGATTTTTCCTGGGTATGTTTCAAACTCTTATCCTTGTAGCGTTCTATATTTTTGTGCTCATAGTTGGTGGTTCATTTTTAAACCATTGTCTCCATATCTCTTTTTTCAGTGTCACTGAAACGTTATTAGTCAAGTTTCGCTTCGAAAAAAAGACTAAACTTGTGAGTTTAGCTTTCCTGAAAATGAATTTATTTCGGCTAGTTGTCCCCTCACGTACTTTTTGGTGAGTGTGACTTTTCGTTTTATGGATAACTGTTTGTTATTAAAAATTTTAAATTGGCTGTACAAGCCCGTATTCAAACCGTCAAATGGCAGCTTGTTTTTGTTTCCAGTAAAATCAAAAAAAAGTACACTGACACTTTGGATTGTTGGAAATGTCGTAAAGCTATTGAGTGTTTAAAGGTACGTTTCCACTTTTTAAAAATCACTGGCCAAGCGAAGATATTCTTAACGTGCAGGGAGATTTTAATTTGCTGTTGGGATATTCTTAATGTGTAGATTTTTTAATTGTTCATAGCTTTTCGCTCACTTACTTATGCTGTTTCATTTTATTTTTTTGTTATTTTGATAATGGACAAGCAATCATTGGTAATTACATAAATCAGAGACCAATTTACTTATTTTTGTTATTATTTGTCTACTTGAATGAAATTCCTTTTTGATTCGCTTTTGTTGTAGTGCAATTTCAAAACATTATTCAGATTACCAGAATGATCTGTTGAACTAAAGAATTTTATAACGGTTTAGTGTAATAACTCGTCTATATCATTTTACATCTCTAAAGTGGATATTGCTTGTTATAGGAAAAGTTGTTCTGCCCACTATGTTCAGCTATACAACCAGTTGAAGATAGAAATTATTTCGATTATTTGGGTCTACTTCCAAGATTTAATGTTGATCTTTCTTTATTGAAGATGAATTTTCTCAAATTACAGTCATTTGTTCATCCTGACAAATTTTCGAAATGTTCACAAGTAACATTTTTAAGTCGTATTTTGTGAGAAACATTGTTACTTTTATTCATTTCTGAGAACTCATTGTGGATTTCGATAAATTAATTTGTTTGCATGATATTTATAAAAGTAAGAAACTCTTGTATGCATTTTTGTAGAAGCAAAAAAATTCCTTCCGTGGAGGCGAGGGGAGATTATTTGTTCCCTTTCACACCATTTGTAGATATTGTTGATTAAAATGATTGTGATCAGGTTTATTCAAGTCCGGTAAGAATCCCTATCAGTTTCGTTGAAATTTTGGCATTTGCTTTGATTTCCTCTTTTCTAAAATTCATAGACTAGTTGTAAATTCTACTGTCTTGTGTTCATAACATTTCATTAATCATTTTGCAGAAGGAGAAAGAAATATCTGAAAATTGCTCACGATATCTCAATGAAGCGTATAAAACATTGGCCGAACCGTTGGAAAGGGCGAAATACCTACTCACATTGAAAGGAGAGCCATTGGATGACAAAGGTAATTTAACTTTGTTAAATTCGTTTTGATTAATATTAAAGGATTTGATCTTCACTTATAATCTTATAACAATTTCCCAGATCTCGTGCAGTGACTTGCCAAGTCATGTGTTTTCTTGAAATCCAAGAAAGACTTCCGAAGGTTTAAATTTGTTTTCATCAACTATAAATTCGATAACCGGTGGTACCATTTCTAGATGCAGTGGATAACAAAGATTTCTTGATAGAAATGATGGAACTAAATGAACTGGTAGTAATAAGCAATGATACGAATGAACTGAATACGTTGTTGGATGGAGTGAAAATTAAGATTCATTTGTTAGGAAGAGAATTTGCGAACAGCATTGAAACAAACGATTTTAAAAAAGCAAAAGAAGCTGTATTCAAACTGACATTCTATTATCGTTTGAAAGACGGTTTATCAAGCAGAATGTTCAATAATGAATAAATCGTTGTTTATGTTTTGCTCAAAAACAAAAGTGAAGTGGACGACATGACATATGGAACATGAGGGTAGGGAAGGAGGTCAGAAATTGGCATGAGATATATAATGTCTTCTGCCAACTTTGTTTTTTCTTTCATATTGTAAGCCGTCGATCAAGATTTCGCGACGAAATGTGGCTTCAAGCACTTCCTTTCGCAATGCTGAAATGGATTTAAAGGTTTAGAACGTATGTGGCGAATGTTGTTATGACAGCTTTTCGGTGTTTGGAAACAAGTTGTGATAAAGGTCCTATTGATTGATGGAACTTATTCGTGATATGTGTCATCCACTAGCTGTTTTTGGTTGTAGGGGAAAATTTAGTAAGAATCTGAGTAAAGCTATATTTTAATAAAGATTTGATGAAGTCTATATGGTAGTATAAAGTTGAAAACAAATCGTAGCCATGGCGTGACTCTAGCTCCTGATACAGTGGAGTTCTATAGGACATCTTCATAAATGAGTTGATTTACAACCAGACACAAAGTTCCTTGCAGCATTCCAGCAGTTGACACAAACATGAGTAGACTTATATCTCTAATCAGCGATATTTATATATTTTAAAAATATTTCGGTTTGCCTAACAGAATAATGGCCTACTGAATTCAGTGAATGATGCTATAATATTTCTGCTGTTCCAAGTCTGGTTACTAAAAAAGTGTCATTGATAATAAGTGGGATGAGGAAAGAAGTGAATCTGGTCACTAGGAACGAGGTGGTAGAAACGTCAGCTATTTGCGCTCTCTAGCTTTTCGTAGCCTTTTCCACCAGCTGATGTATACGAAATACAGAAGGCTCCTGTATGATATCTGCACCAGATTACTTCCAATAAATATATTTAATTGCATCAGTAAGTATAAAATTACAAACGTCATAAAACGTCTAGCGGTAAGTTACAAAAAAGAAGTTAAGCAAAACATTTCGTTTCCGGAATACTGGAGTTCCTCCAATTCTTCATAGCACTCTGGCTGGATTTCACATAAATAATAACGACACTTCTCATTCTGCGCCTGCCTTCCCACACCCGATAATACAGAGGAGAGATATATGTGAACAAGGTGAAGATATCCTCAACTCGTCGTCACAGGCTAGACAGAAGAATAAGTCACAAAAGTATGCAAGAAACGCAAGGGGAACATCTGCCCACTTTTTCGTCAGAATGTAGCGCTTCATAAATGGTTGACATTCTCTTCCTCTTCTGCACCCACACCCACCCTTCCCCACTTTTCCCCTTGTGTCTATTATAATATGTTCTCCTCATTTGCTCACCCAAAGTTCTTCTCATCTGCCTTTGATCAGTCTGCCTATAGAGTAATGTCAGAGTAGAAGACGGACAAAGTTTCTGGAACAATCGATTGGAATTTGAGAGCACTTCTCTCCCGCATTCATTCACCATTTTTAGGCTTAGTGTGTGCTGGTGGTTCCATTGCCCGGCGGGATTGGCATGGATGTGACAATCTTCACTCCCTTTTTTTTACATTTTATACTTGTCTGTAATTTTTATTAGATCGATTCATGGCACTGGGACAGTTTGGCTTCAAAGTGTAGAGTTCTGATTGTTGGTTTGTAACAAACACGCATCTTATAACAAACTTCCATTCAAAAATTCTCCATTGTAGTTCTCGGGTCGCTTCTGTCTCTTGTCGAGGTCTTACGTACGGTTCCGGAGATCATGTCTCGCTCAGTATTCGGTAAGTTTTGAGTAATTTAGTAAAGTTTTATCTGCATCCATTTTTATTACGAATGAGTCTTAAATGGGGAAGTTCGGAAGGTTATTCTTTGTGAAAGGAAGTATTTGGCTTTAAATGGATTCAGTATTTTATATATTTACCTACCATTCTAATAGTACCATAATTAAAGCGATAATTTCGAAATAATTCAGAAGTTATGAGTTAATAACTCGGTTGTCATCGGACTACTCTTTTTCATTTAAAAGTATTGAAAAGGTTTGAAACTGCTTAATTATTTTTGAGGAAGTGTTTTTAAACTTCCCTGGTGAAAAGCGTCTGTTATGAATGAATTATTGTTCAAATATATTGCAATACTTCGTCATTCTGGCATGGTTCACAAGAGTATATTTGGGGAGTTAGGTTTGGTAGAGATTAGGACGTAGATTGCTTTTGCTCTAGACTTCAAGTCTTTGCAGCACGTTTTTTATTGCTGAGCTTAAAACACAAATCGATATCCTTATATATTTTGGCCTAGATTATGAATATAGTTACTGCCAACCACTTGCCACTGCAGCACTACGTAATCTTCGAACTGTTCTTTTCCAGTTGGGAACTTGCCTTACAGTGCAAGAGAGGAGGATGTGGCAAATTTCTTTTGGCAAGTCGGTCCGGTAACCAGCGTGCGCATCGTGTTGGATCGGGACACAGGCCGTCCGCGTGGTTTCGGTTTCTGCGAATTCGAAACGGAAGCAGCGGCGGAGCAAGCTGTTGGAAGTATGAACCATGCGGAATTTATGGGACGTCAGCTTCGTGTTGATCGTGCTATTTCTCGATGAATGTTTTCAGCAGCTCTGGGCGTACACCTATTGTTTTGTTGTAATCATCCCGTTTCAAATGTTCTTTTGCAACTCGGTTACTCTTACATTGGTGTAATTACAGTGTTGACGTATTCCGTGGCAGTTTATTTTTTTGTCACATCTTTGATTCTCTTTCCAGTACAAATGTGACTACCCTGTTTTGAGGCGTATTTTCAGAAATAAAGATTACATTTTAAGATACAAATTGAATGATTTTGTGAAGCTACGATGTAATCGTGTAGTAGACAATGTGCAAGTACTTCTATCTACTGCGGTACTAGCTGTTCAGATGCAGTGGAATTTAAACATTGCGGTGTGCGTGATGGATCAGGGTTCTTCATGGTTGGGTGGAGACCAGGGTCGCCACATTGTTGCATCATTATTCGACGGTATAGTCCTCCAGCTTGGTAAGACCAATTTTGCAACAATGGTTAGCTTGCTTTCGTCATGTTAGACGATCTGGTGTTAAGTTTGGATTGCTGGTAAGGCCGAATAGTATGAGTATTATGTTCAAATCCCGCAATCAATGGTGCTATGGGGTTCGTTGCGTGTTGGTGTACCGCTATGCTTTGTATCCGTATGTGTCATTCTGCGCAAAAGCAAGATTTGCAGATATTTCGGTTACTGTTTTTCCTTTGGTGGCCATGAGCGGAATAAGTCTATGTCCGTCTCAAATAGCCAAGATAGACCTGGGACTTCAGGATTGAGTAATTGTAACGGACATAATTGTGGTACTTCTACAAAATTGTGGTACTTCCACTTTTATGTCACTGGAGACGAGAGACGAAAAAAGCAAGACATGAGGTTTTTTCATCCAAAAAAATTTTTTTTACTCACATAAAGACACAGGATTACAGAATCATTTAGAAATAAGCTTTTTCCTTCATTTCCTCTTCAAAACTACTGCTAGTGAGTTCCCAATGTTCTAATAAATCCTTACGTGTCTTATTTGGTACTGTTCTCCCTGTTTTCCAGACAGCTGGGTCACTCTATAATCTACAGGTAGTGAGGGAAAGTCATCTAGAATCTGGTCGAACCAATGACAAATTATATTACATTTTCGCCGGTGTTCTGGTCAAATAATTTTCTAATGAATTCTTGGGTGTCTTATTAGGAGGCACTGTTCCCTTCGCCAGCTTTTTTTTTGGTATCTTATCTTTCGGGCTTCCACATTTCAACGTTGTTTTATTGGCGTTTTGAGCGTCTTGCAGTTCACTTATCACTTGCCTGGAAAGAGAGCATTTATGCAAGAAGTGACTAAAATTATATAAGCTCCAGTCGAACCTCATACCTTTTTCATTACATAAAGCTGTATTCGTTAGTGTTCCTATCACAATAAAAAACAGAAATATTGAGTTCATGTCGATTTCCGAACCTATTCAAACATTCATCAATATGCTGATTCACCAAACTCAGCTCCTTCGGCAGTGTGATTTTGCAAATTGGGCAAGGCTGTGGTTGATCCAAATAAATCATTTCTCGGGAAACACCATCTGAATCTTCACCGTTGCTATCGAGTTTTAAAGGTGGAAGTAGAAGACTGTCATTTGATGCATCACTAATGTATCCTATTGATTCTCTTCGCTTCCAAAATAAGTACAGCGGGTATGGCGATTCAACCTCATAAAATGTGGCATTAAAAATTGAAATAACCTATATAACAGATGTATACATAAAACTCTACAAGCATACTTTCTCATTTTTGAAGACCAAATGCGCTAATCGTACACCCAGCAGTCGCAAATACTTATCACTGTCATGACCGTCATGCATTTCTCTACGTACGAATTTCGAACACAAAGCAAATAAACGGTTTACATCACAAATCATATAGTCCACGCTAAAAAACTACAGTCGATAATTTCAATTTTTTTTTTTTTTTTTTTAAGATTTGAGTAACTAGTATGAAAGGTTCCACTTTATTAACTAAGGAAAAGTTGGAATCCATTATGAAAGTTCAATACCTACAGCACCGTGTAATTACATCAAACGTTGAAAATTTCATTTTTACAGTAACTGTTCGTCCTCCTCGAATTCCATGACTGGGTAAAGAATTAATAAGTTCGTTGCAAAGACTTTCCAACGTCTATAATTTAGAGAGAGTCATTACCATAAGGTTTTCAAGTCCTAAAGACTGAAGGGCATAAAATGCTCAAATCTCATCACCTTCTAAACTCACGGACTTCTAGGTCTTACAAACTTTAACCAATTCTAAAAAAATATCTGCAGAGCATTTCCTCGAGAAGAGCTCCAAGGTCTCCAGTAGGATGGAATGTTCGTTCTGTACTGATACTTTTCCGTCTCATTTTTTGATCAGCACTGAACACTTGAGATATACCAAGAGCAATTCGCAAAAAATATTCATAACTGCGTTGTGTAAAAAGCAAACTAATTATTCCGCGTCGCTCATATAAGTCAACACATTTTTCCAAACCTATCCCTTTTAGAACTGCTTCCATTACAGGCCCAATTCCGCTTATCTAAAATAATAAACGCGAACTGATCCTGTTTATATTGAAATAACTTTTAGAAACAACAGAAAATAAAGTAACATGCACAGTTTTACTATAAAATTCAATGGATTTATAAAATTACCTTACGTATTGGAAGATCCTTCAAAAAAGTTAAAACGGCTTCCCTTTCATTCAGCAGACGATACTGCCCGTTCGGTTTATTGATATCGGAACATACTTTAGCTAACAGAGAATTTGGCGCAATTCCTACAACACTTACTGGCTTACATGAAACAAATGACAAAGAATATTCTCTCCTAATAAAACTAACGTTGGAATTCCGAACGACAGCAGCAGCATGTATCAGCTAATTGACCTCATAAACTCATTAAACTAAGTTTCTGTCTTCATATCGCAGACCTACTGCCTGTGCCTGCGTACTTATATTTGCTTTTTTCCAATAAATTATTGGATATAGCAACTACTATGAAAGACTAACGCTGACGTACCTGCACTACATGTTAAACCCACTGCTTGTTCTACTCTGAATCGCATTTCACGAACAACCTGCAAAGTTGTTTTGCCAGAAAACATATTTTCAAATGACATTAAAATATTTTTTATATGAACAAAAAAGAAAACTATGGAACAGTACCTCATCAATATCCACTCCGAAAGTGATGTGGTCTCGTACACATTTACGTAGTTTTTTACATTTTGTGCATATTTCTTCAGTAATTTCAGCCTTGTTCAAGTGATGTATCTCATTTTCTGCAACCAAAGGTAGTCGACAAACGCACTCACCCATATATCGAATTCTTTCGTGCTCAACTGCAAAGTGGATTTTAAAATAAGTACAGAAAAAATGATCGATAGCATAACAACCAAGTATTGTACCTGAGCCAGTGCGGAATCGATTTTGGATGTAGGTAGTTAAATCGAGATATGCTTCATCCAAGCCATCCGCATAAAAATCAGGATCATAGTCTCTAAATATTTTCCTAGCCTGAAAAATAAGTGCTGCTTATTTTCCGGTTATTTTATGAAAACATTTCGCTTCCTTGAATTTAAAATTCTTCAATGATCTGAAAATGCCCACCACTGAACTTGCTTCTCGATATTTGTCAAAACAACCATGAACAATTCTTAGTTGAGGGCATAACTTCTTTGCAATGAAACCGGGCATAGCAGAACGGACACCAAAACGACGAGCGGCATAATTTGATGTACTCTGGAAAAGCCACAATTGCAGAATAATGCAAACTTCATATAATAATGCCCTCAAAACGTCCATTAGATTTTAACTTCTGGTTGAAAGTGATGTAGCGTAAGATGCTAAATTCATTTCACGTTTCAATATGCTGCATAAGATAGTGCAGCATACTGAAATATATAGATTTAATTCCCTCTTAAGAAACTGTTCCAAACAGGTAATGATTAAAAAGACATTGTCTTATAAGAACTAAATCTTTATAACGCAAAAAACTATTAACTACACAGGTATATAAAGGGAAAAGAAACTAACTGATAGAAAACATATTTCATAGAAAGGCCAAACAATTGCTAAATCTGTTCTATGAACTGTAGCATATAATACAAGTTGTTTCAGAAAAAAATAATATAAGATACACTGTAATCAGATGCATAAATGAATCAAAATACTACACATACAAGCATTAAATTCGAACCCACTGCCATTGGAATATTGCGAAGTGAAGGATCATCTCTCATTTCAACAGCTGCATAAAATGCATCCATATCAACGTGAACAGCATAACGGGAAAGGTCGCGTTCTTTTTCCAGCAGGTCTACCAAAGCATCCATCTAAACTATGCAGTCTACAATGCATCACAAAGTATGACCTAATAAAAATTCACTGTAGGATGAATTGGAAAGACAAGTAAAACTAACTTCAGCTTGAGCCTGGAGAATTTGATGTGGTGTAAATTTAGCCATAATGTTATTGTAATATTTTATCCTAGCATCGATTCTCTCTTTCCTTTTCTTTGCATATCCTTCGAAATTTGAGCTAGTATTTTCATTGATTATTTTCTGGATATGTTCCTAAGAATATTTTTGCAATCTTTATTAGGAAGGAGCATTTTATCCAGATGGTTATTTATAAACAACTGTGAACGAAATCATTTAAGCAGTGCAACATAGGAACATAGAGAAGGTGCCACTAAATATTTTTTTCTGCCCTTTTTGTTCTACGTGTGGAGTATCTACCGTAAAGGCACGAAAGGGAGCAAAATTTCCACTTCAATAGCACATGTAAAATGTATGTAGGAGTGATATAAGTCACTGGAAGAAACTTATAACCTAGGGATAAAGGTCACTCTGTAACAAGTGAACAGCGCTATACAATCAGGAAGTAAACTAAACAAGTGTTTCATATCGGATACTTTTTTCTGTCAGGAAATTGAATAACAATTTATGACATCCATTATCACGAGAGGCGAGCCACACTGTCTTGTATCAGTTGCACTAACTTTGTATGAAAAGGAAACCTTGTCAACGCCAACCGTGCCGGTCTTGCTGTTACTGAAGGGCAGCATGTCTTACTTCACTTGTTACTTGCTTGCTGGTGGACCATATGGAAGTAGCTTAGACACATTATCAAATCTTTCACAAAGAACACTGAAAAATGACCCATTTAACAAATATGCCATTCTTCTACTTGATTCAATGAATTTTATTTATATCTTCCCTCTTGCAGTCCACAATGCACCATCAGTCAAGATGTTTTGTAATCGAAGCAACGATATCTTCATTGAACACTGTGCAAAAGCGCCAGAAAATCAATCCTCTCCACTACCTACTCTCAGGCTTCAGTAAAGTAACCTAAACTTATTTACGAATTTCACATCCTCAGACTGCTTAACCCTCTCGGAGTTTTAAGTCTATTGGGAGTAGAGATTGTGTAATTGAGGAGACAACAGAAATCGATAAGAGTTGCGGAAAGCAGAGACTTGGAAGAGTTGGAGATGGAATGATAACACTGGGAAAGGTTGGCAATGACAGTGAGGGAAGTTCGGGTAAACTTTTGGCTCTTTCACGTAGATCATGCTGCTGTCTTCTGTCTGAAAAGCCGGATCAGATTTTTTCAGAACACTTGCTTAGTGGATGATTTTTAAAAATTGTGGGTTGTTTTGACATAATCACATTTCTATTTATATAACTTAGATAAAGTGGACAGTTCGTGTGGTCTGTTTTTCTGAATCATCCAAAAAATTTCCCTGAAAAACCATCGTTCAGTCTGGGCCACATGCGGCAGTTTCGGTAATTAGAATCTCCATAATAACATTATTCATTTAGGGGGAAGACTCCATAAGCGGCAATAAAGTAATATTTGACGCGATATTGTTAAGAGGTTGTGATGAAGAGATGTAATGGTAGAATAGACTCTGACAAATAAAAATATGTATAAGAAAGGACTGAAGAGTAATGTGTATTTGTGACTCTTTCCTGATTATTGCTTCCCCAGTTTCTTACAAAACAGATATTACAGGGAGAAAGCAAGTAAATCGACCAAAATGATTCGTTCAGTGTTAGTAAGTTTTACGAATTGTTCCCGTTGGTTTGCTCTCTTTATCGTTTTCTTCAAGACCTAATTTCAATAATCTTTTGAGTAAGCAAAAGTAATAATTGTATACTAACTGGTTTTTAGGCTTCAGTGTCGCCACTTCGTCTGATACTTGCAAATCAACTTTGCACGTCCTCTGTTACGTTAGCTGGCGTTCGACCTTTGGGTCCAAAAAACAAAGCACCTGATTTTTCTGTACGTATCCCAATAGCTATGTTTTTATCACTTTGTTTAATATTTAGTGGCTGAAAGAATAATCATTGTATACAGCCGTTTTCAAGCGTATCATATTTCAGGGCACAGCAGTTGTAAATGGAGATTTTAAAACAATTAGTATGAAAGATTACAAAGGAAAATGGCTTATCCTGTTTTTTTATCCTCTTGACTTGTTAGTTAACCTTCTGTCTATCCTCCAAAATTTCTCAGTTTTCCTTGGCGACTTCCTGGATTTCGTGAAGATTGCTATTACAGCCAGTGCACTGGTACAGTTGCATTGGTACAATGATTTATTGTATATTGATAATGATTTGTTTGTTAATTTATTAATTTTTAACCTTGGTCTTGAAATTGATGTTAGTTTCAGTACCTTCGTTTGTCCAACCGAAATTACTGCCTTTAGCGATCGATGTGCGGAGTTTCAGAAATTAAACACAGAATTGATTGCATGTTCGTGCGATTCACATTTCTCACATCTAGCATGGATTCAAACCCCACGTAGTGAAGGTGGTCTCGGTGACATGAAGGTTCCCGGTATTTATAAATTTTTACAAGTTTTGGTAATATTCCAGTTTTAATTTCAATACTCTTAAATAGGCTGGAAAGTTTCCTTGCAGATTCCAGTGCTTGCAGACTTTAATAAAGATATAGCGAATGCATTCGGTGTCCTTGATCATGAAACAGGTATCTCATATAGGTAAGATGCCATATCTTGACACTTCGTCTAGGATATTTTAGAGTTTTTTTTTTACAATTTCAAATGTGTTGTCTCTTAAACAAAATTGAGGATGTATCTCTTTTAGTTATTAATTCTTCTAGTTCTTTTCAGAGGTTTGTTCTTAATCGATCCAAGTGGTGAAATCCGTCATTCTCTCGTGAATGATCTTTCGGTTGGTCGTAGTGTGGATGAAGCATTTCGTACGCTAAAAGCCTTTCAGTTTGTGGAGAAACATGGTGAAGTATGTCCGGCAAACTGGTCCGATGATAAGCCAACAATTAAGCCCGGCATCAAGGAGTCCAAGGAGTATTTCAAAAAGGTCGATGGTCATACATAAAAAATCCAGTATCACCTAAAAATGATTTATTTGGACGACGTGAAGTTCTTTTTTTTCGTTTTGAATAACAGAGTTTTTTGTTCCTGTTTATGTTAAGGTTATAATTTAGTTGCTTTTTGTAGTTATATGTATGCGATTTATTCTAAATAATAAATATCTGAGAAAGGCTAATATCTGTTAAGTCGCAGAATTCAAACACTACACGGCTGAATTAGTTTGGAGAAAGCACGTTTTTCGATGCATAATCTGGTTCCTACATGAATCATGCTTGTTTTGAGTGAACTGCACTGGTATTTGGTTTAAAACCTGTAAGAATAACACATCAATTATATCACCAACTAAGGTGTAGGTAGCTTCACATAAGGATAGGAAGATGTATTTCGAGTTTTAAAGTGGAATTGTTATCTTTTTATATGAGTTGCTCATTCAATATGGCAGACAGGGAAGTGATTGTATTCACACACAAATAATGGGAGGAAGAAGTTGTGGTAATTCCCGGATTAAAACAGGATGTAGGAAACAAAAGAGAGGAGGGCTCTGTGTTGAAAGCTGTTTGCAGGAGCGAAATTGTGATTGTAAAGAGATGTAACAGCATGAAATGTGGTGTCCAGTTAGCCAATTATGCTCGAAATCACCAGTCATTTTCGCCTTTGATGGCGCCAAATCTTAAGATATTGTAAAATACATAAGTACATTATTCTTTGCTGATAACTGTGATTGAAATGTACCCAATGCATGGTGCATAAAAATGACGGAACCAAAAACAATGAAAAGTGTCTTGAGCCGTATAAATTTTATTCGAGGGGTGTCAATGCCAACACCCCAAATGTTTTTATTCTTTAAGATCAAAGAACATATGTCGTCGTCGTCTAGCAACTGGTCAGATTTCTGCTGGAAAATCCAACAGTTTTCAACATCCACCAAAGACTTCCCAACATAAATCCATTTGAGAAGTCAAATTGATCTGAAGAGTCAAGAAATATACCATGTTTTGAATAACTGGTCCGAATCAAGAAATATACCCATATTTTGAACTCTTCTACAGTTGCTATCCTTTCAAGTATTTTGTAAATCATTTATAATTCACACTCAACTATCTGCTGTTCAGTCGGTTCTCATTAAAAACCGACCACACTCAAACTATTTAATGTATAAATTTGTATACATTTTGAAGATGGTAATGTTGTCGAGAAATTGTAAATTCTTGTTAGTTCGTTTGATTTGAAGTTTGTGTAAACAAATGTGTTGAGAAGGAGTCTGTTCTGATGACTTTATTCGCTATACGCAAGTATTAATCTATAGCAACAATATACTGATAACCTCGTAGAATTTGAAAGTCTACGAATGTGAGGTGAACAAGAAGAAATAAACTGAGGGAAAACCTAAGATTTAAATAAATCAAATTAAATGAGCGTAAAAGATCAGCAGATTTGTAACTTGCTGGTACGAAAAAAATGAATAAAATAAAGAATTTAAATCCATATATCGTAGGCAAATTGATTTGCAACAAGTGTTAAAGAGCTATCAGATGATCATTACTCTTATGTAATAAGAGTTGGATTTTATTATTGTCAGTTGCTCATAAGAATGATTATTAGATTAAAAAACCTCTGCAGTATTTCGACATTGCAGGAAAATTTGGCTTAGAACAAAGATGTAAATTTTAACATATTAAACAATGCACATGCCCTTTGTTAACAGTTGAAAAATTCTATACAAGCAGGTAAGTTCAGTTACAACGGGAAGATGAGTTTGCATAAATGATTGCTTACATGAGATGCAATTTGAAACAGTTTCAATTCTTGTTTAATGAATATTCAATTAAGATAATCATTAATCCTGGATTTTTCTGACAAATGCCTCGTTTCTTAAAATTCAGCTGTTCTTATAATGGGGATTACTTTAAGTTGTTCCTTCTTTCTTCTGCATTCATCGTATAGCATTTTTTATGTTTCTTGTTACCAAATGAGGCAATACTCAATTCCTTATTTTCTGTTCTTTTTTTTAACTTGATTAGTTCATTGAGATGAATGATAACTGTTACCCTTTATAGAATAGTATAAATGTTCCCGCTTCAATTTTTCAGATTTCTGGATTTATGACGTTAATTTCTTTACACAAAAGCAAAATTATTTTACCTTCCGGTCGCTTTTGATCAGTTACTGTGCTATTTGTTACTATTTCCACCCTTTTTTTTTCTTTAAGTTTTCTGGTTTAACGTCCTTGGAGTGGATAATACATAGTGTCTTTTGCAGTTCCTTAGTTTTCTGCAATCCTTTACTATATTGCTTCTTTGAAAACAATTTAGGCAAGCTTCGATTTTCCTTAGATGCTCTATCCGCTGCTTGGCGGTGGGATAAATGGGATAAATTTAACACTCTCATCACAACGGGCATTGCTGCGAAATGAACAAGGAAATCTTTTCTTAACTAAATGCTGGTTTGGACCTTCTTTTCTGATTTCTCCTGGAACTTTGCCACTTGATCTCTGTGGTTTTGTTGCAAATAAAGCCGAAGTTCTTTTCCTTTTATCTCCTAGAATCGTCGATCTATGTCTGAATTGGGTTCTGGATTTCTTTTCTTCTTATTACTAAAAGTTTGATTTTTTTTTGCTAAACAAATAAGTCACTTTGTTTTTTGTAACCAGTTTTCCTAGAAAGTGCCGGAGTTTATTAACCGACCATAGTTCCTATTCCTCCTTTTGTTGGTATACTTTATTTAGTACCCAAACAGACTATTCGTTTACAACAATAATTTCGATGCTCGTCTGCTCTAGATTTTTTCCTATCGCTTCCAGCTGCCGAAGTATTCTTTTAATTATTTAGACAGTTAGTTTCTCTTCCCTATCGTTTTTCTTGAAAAAGTGCTATTCATTGTAGAGCAATTTCTTAATGATAAATGATTTTTCAAATTTCTCTTTCAAAACTTTCTTACAAAGTCATAGTTTCTATGATGATGTAAGACATCTCTTTTAGTCAGGACATTAGATAATTCAATTTTTTGGAAATGTACTGCAGCATCAAAACTGCTCCAAAAATTCCTCCATAATCTCAGGTCACTGCTGTATATCGGTAGTGATAAATGAGGTAAATTTACTTTTGTGTGAGAAGCTAATCGGGATAGTTCTTGTTGACGGATTCGCTCTCTACTTGCGTACTCTTGGCTTAGCCACTGAAGACGAATCGAGTAAAGGCTGCTGTGACTAAAGACTGATCCAGACAGTGGATTTTTTTCTATATAGTCGACTTTGATTCCAACGGGAGACCTTTAGATGAGTGAATAAATTATCAGGCATAATGACATTTTTACAGCATATCATCAATACACACAAGATTAATTGCAAATTGGAAATGTTTTATGATGATTCATGATACAAGTTTAAAGAAACAGTCGGTGATGTTAGAGTCATTAATAGTCTTTAGCCTATAGACTGCCATCTTATAGACTGAAACAATCAAAGAACAGCTGCAAGTTTATATTCAGACGCGAATTGAAAAGACACAATTCACTATTTGCCTCATCATGAAGTTATATCTCCTTATAAATCCATAACAAAACTTAGAGTAGTCCAAGATGCTTCTGCCCAACTTAAAAGAACAAAAAGTTTGAATGGAGCTTTATATAGTGGAACCATAATGCTACCAGATTTATTAGCAATTGGAACTGCATCCTTACCACAGGAAGGTGAAAAAAAAAAAGTATTATATATTTAGTGACCAAAGAGAACCGAAAAATTATCGGTTTAAGAGAGTTCTTTTTGGAATTATATCGTCACCATTTTTACTACCGGCTACACTCAAGCACCGTGTAGAAACTATGGGAAGGCAAATCAGAAAATACTTATAAGTAGACAATGTTACATTGTCAATGAATAAAACAAAGGAACCAACGACAAAAACTTCAATAAAGCGATAGCCAAACACGATCGAATAGAGGAAGCATCAGCAAAAATTCTTAGCGTCATCTGAACAAATGATAGAGACACAGCTTGTCGCGAAATTCTAAAATATTAAAAATAATACCAATGAAAGTAAAGTAAGGGTAGGAAATATGTCCGTGAACCCTTCGCAAATAATGCTTGTAGATAAATTTTATTTTAACCATGCTTATGCTGTAAAACCTTTGTCGTAAAAATTAAGGTTCCAGTCTGAACATACCTTTGTGACTTAGAGTCGAATTGAACTTTTGCATGCTCAAAACCTTACTTGTTTGCTATTAGCTGGCATAAATGAATGCGTTGAATGATAGGTCTGTTGTAAGGATTTTATTTGTTAACAATAATAATATATAGGTATTAATCTATAGCAGCAATATTGATAATTTCGTAGAATATCTACAAATGAAATGAAGAAAATGGGTAAATGAATAAATTGGTCGGGAAATGAGCTGAATTGTGAGTGAGGAAGAGCAGCAGAATTGTAGCTTACTGGTAAGGAAAAAACTGGTAAAACTGAGTTGATTGAGACAAAAGGTTTAAACCCTTATATAGTGGATACTGACTTGCAGCAACAGCATGATTATTGAGTAAGGAGCTATCAGATGATCTTTACTCTTTATATAGTAAGAGATGGGTTTTAATACTGTAGTTTCTTAAAGAATGACTATTAGCTTAGAAAACCTTTACAATATTTCGACATCGCAAGCAAATTTTGAAGAATAGTATGATAGGGTGATTCTCACGAATCAAGAGGAGGTAAAACTCCCACAATTTTGTTATAGTTTCAAGGAGACTGTTCATGAGCAAAACATCCCAGACATTCAGAAGTTGAATTACGTGATATCTTGTCTTAAAGGAGATGCATTGCTAGCTGTGAGGGATTTTGATATATCATATAAACCATGTCATAAAAGATTTACTAATAGAGAAGCAGGTAAGCCTTTCATTATAAAGAAATCATTTTACAATGAATTGAATTCTACCAAAAGAAAGACCTGATTGGACAGCTGGAAGCTGTAGGTGAGAATTTAGAGCATGCAAATAACAAAATTTCAATTGAGAATAAATTATCAGCGTGGATAGTGGATAAGTTATACTAATTGAAAGAGGAATCGACGAATTGATCGGTTAAAGGTATCCGACAATACTTGACAAGGTTAGCACAAAGAGATGTAGTTGCTAGAAGTCGAGCGAACACAAGTGAAATTTCAGCCTTAGCCATAAACAATTCATCAAAGGGAGATAATACAATAAAATCAAAAAAGATTCCAGAAGAAATTCCAATTGGCGGAAAAAGAAGGCCATGTGTATTTTGCGATAAAGACCACTGGAATAATGAATTTAACATTTTTCCCACACTCAAACTCCAGATGGAACGTTTGAGGAAAATCACTGCATGTTTCAAATGTCTTTGAACAGGGCATGCGACAAGTAATTGTAAAAAAGGGTAACTTTTGTGTTTCCATTATAAAGGTCAACGCAATACGGCACTGTGTCATCTCAATTACAAGGAGTTCATGCAAACAGTGGATTCCAACAAAGGAAAATTAGATTCAATCATAATCGCTAATTCTATTACTGAAAAGGGAATTCAAAAGAATAAGCGAACCTTATTATTATGTAAGAAAATAAGTATGATCAATTCAAACCGCCCAGAAATTCAACAAAAGACTAGCTTTATTCAATACTGATTCTCAATTGTCCATATCAAAGGAATTGGCATATCGATTAAATTCTACAAGGAACTAAAGAAATGGAGCTAAACATTGCTTCATTTGACAACACGACACCAAAAGCGTGTCTTATTACTAAGACTGAAATCGGAGTAGAAATTGGAAATAAGGAAATAATCTGATTAGATGCAATAACGTTTGACTACCTGGCCAATGAATTATAAGCGGATAATTTTAACAGAAAGAAATTATCGAAGATAAACAAAATCAATTAAACAATTTCACAGGCCAATGGAAACAACCAAATATTCTCATAGGTGCTGATTACTTC